GCCAGATTTATGGCAGACTTGTTGTCGATTTGCAACACAAGAGGTTTCTTTACTTCGACCTCCATTTCTTCAAGTACCGATATGATCCAAATTACTTGACATGCAGCGTAGAATCCTGCTATATATTCAACTTCACATGATGATAATGTCACCACATGTTGCTTTTTCGAGCACCAAGAAATTGGGGCACCAAATACTTGAAAGAAATATCAAGTAGTGCTTCTTCGATATTCCTTATCTCCGCACCAGTCAATATCTGAATAACAAGTAACCATAACTTCTTTGCTTTCAGAGTCTCATCGAAATAAAATTTCATAGTTTGTCGATTATTTAAGTATCTCAGGATTCTTCTTGCAGCCTTCATGTGTGACACTTTTGGTTCACTCATGTATTTGGTCACTAATCCGACTGAGAAACATATATTAGATCGACTTTTGCACACATATCTTAGAGATCCGATAATTTGTTTGAACAAAGTCGCATATACTTTGTCTCCCTCTCCATACTTCTCCAACTTTAAATTTGGTTCGATAAGCGAAGATGCAGCTGTCGAACCATCCATTTTGAATCTCTTGAGTATCTCTTTGACATACTTTCTTTGATGTGGCACCATGCCTTGCTTCGACATTTGAAACTCCATGCCTAAGAAGTATGACAATTTTTCCAAATCTGACATTTCAAATTCCTTCTTCATCAACTCTTTGAACTTCAACAAGTTCTTCAGGCTATTTCCAGTTACTATCAAGTCATCGACATATAAGCAGATTACTGTTATATCTTGTGTCACTACTTGAACATAGACACCATACTCAGATTTGTATTTTATGAATCTCAATTCAACCAAGTATGAATCGATCTTCTTGTTCCATGCCTTAGGTGCCTGTTTGAGACCATAGAGCGCTTTGTACAACTTGTATACTTTACATTCTTCCTCCTGAATCACAAACCCAGGAGGTTATGTGACGTACACCTCTTCTTCTAAAGGTTCATTCAAAAATTCTGATTTCACATCTAAATGAAATGTTAACCAGCCTTGCTTGCATGCCAAGGCCACCACTAGTCGAACAGTTTCCAATCTTGCGATAGGTGCAAATACTTCAGAGTAGTCGAGTCCTACTCTCTGGAGAAATCCTCGAGCTACCAATCTCTCCTTATGCCTTGCTACTGACCCATCAACATTGAGCTTCGACTTGAACACCCACTTTACTTCGATAGCTTTTGTATGGGCTGGAAATTCAACCAACTCCCATGTGTTGTTTCTTTCAATTGCTTGTAACTCTTCGACCATAGCAGACTTCCATTGTTTATCTTTGAAAGCTTCGCTATAATTAATTGGTTCAATACCTGCAAGTAAAGCAAAATGGACTAGTTCTCCATCTATTGTGACTTCATCACCACCAACTACTTCATAGTTTTGAATTCTTGCTGAATGAGCTCTAGTTCTTTGAGGTCTCTAATTTGTGCCAGTCGTATCCTCTTCGACTTTGACATCATTATCTGTTTCGACTTCTTCTTCGACTGAAATATCAACAATGTCTTCGACTTTGACATCATTACTTGCTTCATTGAAATCATAGCTCATCAGTCGATTGTCAATTGCATTACTAGAATTCCAATTCCATGCAGAATTTTCATTATCTCTTTTTTCATTATGCTAATGTAATGCAAGAGGTTTCGAAAATCGAATTGTTTCTGATTATGAAAACCCAATATTTTAAACTTCGTAATATCAGTTTTTTATAATCCTTTCATTTATATAAGACTAAACTACACTAATTTTTTATGAGTTCTGTTAAAATGTCGTAGCACATGACATTTACCTACCGTTGATTAGTTGTCACTAAAAAAATTTGTAAATATATATAAATTTAAGAAGGACTAATGTGTATTTTAAAAATAGAATATTCAACATAGTATGCAAAAATAAAAATTTAAGATCAAAATAGTATTCAATGAAAGTCATTCAACACTTAGATCAATATTAACCTATCTCTCTTCCCACTCAATAAATTAATGTTTGAATTTCAGAAAAGTATAGATTATTATGTTTGTCTCTTATATCTAAACTAATTTTGATGTAAAACAATCTTTATGAAAATACACTTTTGAAGACCATAATCTCCTACTACTAACTCAATACTATTTTGGTTTTGCAAAATTCAGGTTGTTATAAACAAAGGCCTCTAAGAGTACAAATAGTCTCAATATATGATAATAGCATCACACACATGACACATCAAACATAGATTTAATCTACAAGATCCATCATAAAACATGATATACATTTACAATATATATAAAAACTTTATTAAATTGATCATAATCCATTTAAATATAACAAAATCACCACAAGTTATAAACAACATGCCAATACCTATTCTTCAACCACTTGAAGCTCTTCCTAAAAGAGCCTTTCACCTTTCCTTCCACAGTATACATTTTATAGCTAGCAACCCTTTTCTTCCTTTGAAATTCAGGATCATCACCAAAGCTCCAAGACTTAGAAATTGAAGACCTTGATGAATCACTTTTTCCTTGCTTAAACTTCAAGTCCTTAGGACCAATTTGAGTTTGTGCATAGGAAACACTATAAGACCTAGGTGCTCCATAAGAAATTTGTTTGTTATATTCCTCCATGGAAACTAAGAAAAGATGAAGATTGAAGAGATTCTCACTCTTCAAAGGTCAAGTTTTTTTTTTTCTTCTATTTGATAAGAAATGTGATCAAATATTTAAGAGAGAGTGGGACAGTGTGGGGTGATCTAACAAAGACTTAGGAGCAGGCTTAGTTTACTTTTTTTTTTTTTTTTTTTTTGTATTTTTTTCATCTAAATTCAACACATAAAATGCTACTAGAAATACAACTTAATTATTTTTTACACATATTTTAATTTTGATTATCTCACTCTTAAAAAAAATCATACTAGAAATATAATGTTTGTTTAATGAAGTATGGTCAATAATAGTTTCATTTAAGATAAAAAATCATATTTTTTTGAATAGTTTAATTTTAAGTGAAATTTATTAAGCACTTAAATTAATTTACCGTTTTATTTCTTTTTAAAAGAATGTCACACTGTCAAATGATATTTATAATACTTAACAAGTGGCGTATGTAGGACAAAATTGATGAGAATTTGTTTATTTCTTGTTCAGATGGACATACTTTCTATTTTTATACAAAAAATACAAGAAGATTATAATTTGATATTTATGGGTAAGACTTATTACAAATTTTGTTGTTTAATTAATGGATTCTCAAAATCATATTAAAGTGTAATGAACATCGGTTGAAAATCATTTTAGTAATTCTTAAAATAGTATAAAATAATAATATTTTTCTTTTAAAAATCATCTTTAATCATTTTAAATTTTATAGCATGTTAGGTAGGAAATCATTCTTGTTCACGCAACCGATATTAAAATTTGGGTTAAATATGTTTCGGATCTTTATAAAATAATTAAATTTTGTTTTTGATTTTTATAAAAAAAATAACGTGTTTCGATCGCTACAAAATAATTGTGTACGTAGTTTTAGTCCTTACTGTTAAATTAATGTATATTTTTGAATGATTATTTTGCATGTTTAAAACGTTATAAAAAGTTCCTCGGAAAAAAAAAGAACTCAAAATTTAATTTATAAGTTGAGATTTTCATTACTTGTCTCATTATCTTTTGAATTTTAAAAAATTCATATTAATTCTTCTCATTTTAAAAAGTTATATAATTTGGTAATGAAATATTTTATAATAATTTGAACATGTATAAAAAAAATTATTCAAAAATTTAAAAGTTTAGGGGTAATTAAATAGTTTTTAAAATTTTAGAAAATAGCAGGGACTAAAATTGTATATATAAAATTTTTGTAGGGAACAAAATATGTCATTTTTTTATAGGGACTAAAATTAAAATGTAAGATATTTATAGGGATCAATTTAACTCTTAAAATTTTATAGGTTTTAGCTTTTTGACTTTTACAAAATATTTTTATATTTTTAGGTGATAAGATGTCATTAATCAAGTTAAAATATAGAACAAAGTGGCAATAAAAAATAAAAGGAAAATCGTGCATTATTTTTATTTTGAGGTGAAAGCAGAAATATGTGATATTAAATGAATAAGTTCTTTTGGCGTGATAGAAGGAATTCTTGATGCGGTGGAGTAGGGAGATCTGCTAGATTATCACTTCAACGACCAAGTCGGTTAAGTATAAGAGATGTAGTTTGAGAGTGAGAATGATGTAATATTTATAATTAGTATGTAGTAAGACTTATATGCATCATGTGGTTGAAACTGCCTAGTCTAACTCGGCGTGTGACGTGGAAAGTCGTCTGATCATATCTAACAATAGTAAATAGTTGAGGGAGGGTGTCAAAACCAAGTGTCATATGAAAAGTGCCTTTATGGTTTGAAGCAAGCACCTATGGCTTGGTATGAAAGTTAATTGAGTTTCTCGTCAATAATAGCTACATAAAAGGAGGAATAGACAAGACCTTGTTTGTTAAAGAAAAACATGTGAACTCATGATAGCTCAAATATATGTTAATGACATTGTGTTTGGAGGGATGTAAAACCATATGGTCCAACATTTTGTCAAGAAAATGCAATTTGAATTTGAGATGAGTCTTGTTGATTAACTAACTTATTTTCTTGGTCTTCAAGTTAAACAAATGGATGATACTATATTCATTTCTCAAAGCAAGTATGCTAAGAATATAGTAAAGAAGTTTGACTTATAAAATTCTAGTCACAAAAGGACACATGCTGCAACACACTCAAAATTAACTAAAGATGAAAAAGGCGTTGGTGTGGATCAAAGTTTATCCAGGAGTATGATTGGCAGTCTACTGTACATTACAGCTAGCAGACCAGACATCATCTTTGCTGTAGAAGTTTGTGCAAGATATCAAGTTGGGCCTAAAATGAGCCACATTACTCAAGTGAAGAGGATTTTGAAATACATTAATGGTACTTGTGATTATGGCGTGTTGTACTCTCATAGTACTAATTCAATTCTTATAGGGTATTGCGATGCAGATTGGGCAGGTAGTGTTGATGATAGAAAAGCACTTCTGGAGGATGATTCTTCTTAGGGAACAATCTTATCTCTTGGTTTAATAAGTAGCAAAATTGTGTGTCCTTGTATACTTGTGAGGCTGAATATATTTCAGCAGGAAGCAGTTGCAAGTAACTAATATGGATGAAACAAATGTTGAAGGAATATAATGTCCAACAGGATGTCATGATATTATATTGTGACAATCTGGGTGCTATTAAAATTTCCAAGAACCTCATTCTACATAGCAGGACAAAACATATTGATATTCATCATCATTTTATTAGGGGTCTCGTTGAGGATAAAATTGTGACACATGAGCATGTAGCAACTGAGAAACAACTGGCGGATATATTCATTAAGGCCTTGGATGCAAATCAATTTGAAAAATTAAGGGGCAAATTAGGTATTTGTATTTTAGAGGAGTTATAGCAATTAATTCTATGGAGGCGTGCAACGAGTATTGTTTCTTCTTAACATTCAATTGTGCATACTATTTTAGGCAAATCATTACAAACTTTCCATAAACCTTTTCTAACACACTTACAACTACTCGTTTCCTACTTCATTGTTCCCATTCTCAGAAATTTGTTCCACTCCTTCATTCACTTGCACATTCATCTCTCATCTCTCTCAACCAAAATGTCTAAGACTCCTGTCTTAACTCCCAGCAAGAGCTCCAACGAGCAATCTGTTCCAACCCCTACGAAGGCTAAGGACATGCATGCAAGCACCAATGATGATCCCATTGTTGATATCATTGATGTTATTATGGTGTCCATTGTTCTTCCACCTGCTCCATTAAAATGAAAGACAGAAAATCCTAAGCCGAAGAAGGCGATGTCCTCAAAGGTTAGTGAATCTTCAACCCCAATGTGTCAGTGAAGTGCTAATAAGAAAGTTGAATTGTCGATTGTCAAGAAACCACATTCCATGACGAGTTTGTACCTTGATCCTCTCCTAACTCCAAATGTTGAATTTAGTGTTAGGTTCTCTGCTGAAAAATATGTTATGCCAAATATTGATGTTAAGGTTGACAAATATGTCACTGAATTTGTGGAGAATGTTGAAAAGTGGAAATTTGTGTATCAAAGAAGGTTGGCTTTGGAAAGAGAACTTGATAATGATGCTTTGGAGTGCAAGGAAATGATGGAACTGATTCAGGAGGTTAGGTTAATGAAAAGTGTGGTTGGTCTTGGTAAGTTCTATGAGATGTTGGCAAAATAATTCATTGTCAACATCTCCGAGGACTGTGATAACGAGAAAAGCAATGAATACATGAAGGTGTATGTCAAAGGAAAATGTGTTGATTTTTCTCCATAAATTATAAATAGATTCATAGGAAGGAATGAAGAAGAACATGATGAAATGCAAGCAAGTGACAATGACATATGTAAGGAGATTATTGCCACTTAAGTGTAAAGTTGGCCAAGGAAGGGAAAGTTATTTGCTAGCAAGTTAAGTGTGAAGTATGTTGTGCTTCACAGAATATGAGTTACTAACTGGGTGCCTACTAATCATACCTCAACAATTGGTATAGGTTTGGGTACATTCATTTACATTGTTGGAACAAATTTATTTTATTTTATTTTGGGTTGTATGTTTTTTTAACAAGCTGTGAAGCATGCAAATGCATTTGCTGTGAAGTTACCTATTGCTTTTCCTACTCTGATTTGCGTTATCATTTTGAGTCAATATCCTGGTATCTTAATTAGTTTTGATGCAGTCTGCAATAGGGAATCCCCTTTGTCTCTGCACTATAAGTTGTTTGAAGGGACACATGTAACACCCCCTTCTATACCCCCAAATAAACAATAAATCACTTAAGCACATAATAAAATTTCATCAGAGTATTATTAAAACATGGTATAAAAGAGGCATGTAACATCACATATAAAATTGAAACATACAACACCTGCTCTATAAAAGACATGCAACAGTGGGGTAGCTTTCAACAGAGGAACTTAGTCCTTACACCCACATCTCAATATTTAGAATTAAAAGCGGAAAATCTAAACATCGAATCATTCTAAACATGTAATCACATAAATACATATTATTCAGTTTGATTCACCACATCATTCATATTTACATAAACATTTGTCAACAGATACATATACAAAATGTATTCCAAAAGAATACTATACAATCCTAACTACCCGGTGCTACATATCAGAGCTAACCGACCAAAAGAATGAAGCTATACTTCACAAAAGACCTCCAGCAATCCTAATCTGCAATGACTCAAAGAGCATTATAAAACAGCAGAAGGGTGAGAAATATTATCATAATAATCAATGCATATAATTATATATCTATATGCAATCACAGAATACACATATTCCACATTCTCACCACATTCCTCAAAATTCAACATATACATCACGATGTATATGTATATATATATATATATATATATATATATATATATATATATATATATATATATATATATATATATATATATATATATATATATATATATATATATATATATATATATATATATATATATATATATATATATATATATATATATATATATATATATATATATATATATATATATATATATATATAT